GGGGGCGGGGACATGCTGGACACAGAACGGGGTGGGCGGGGAGGAGCGGGTGGGGGGTCACTGCTGTCTCCCACCAACCACTCAGGCCGGAGGGGACTGCAGGCTTCCCTTCCTCTGTGGTTTCCCACCATATTCCTGATCTTATTCCACGTTGGGTTTTTTAGTTTTGTTAACAGACAGATGTGGTCTTGTTCCGTCTCCCAGGCTAGAGTGCAGTGGCAGGATCATGGCTGGCAGCCTCCAACTCCAGGGCTCAAGACATCCTCCTGCCTCAGCTTCTCAAGTAGCTAGGACCACAGGCACATGCCATCTGCACCTGGCTAATTACAAAATTTTTTTTTCTGTAGAAATGGGGTGTTGCTGTGTTGCCCAGGCTGCTCTAACTCCTGGCCTCGAGCAATCCTCCCGTCTTGGCCTCCCCAAAGTGCTGGGATTACAGGGGAGACCACTATGGCCAGCCCCCATGTTCATTATTGCATTCCCTGATCCTGACCCTAGCCAAGTGGGCTAGGATAAATGAAGAAAACAAGCAACTCTGCCCTCTGGCTTTCTCTGCAATTCTACCCAGTTTTTTTTTTGAGTTGGAGTCTCACTGTGTCACCCAGACTGGAGTGCAGTGGCCACTCCCAGCCACCGCAGCCTCGACCTGCTGGGCTCCAGCGATCCTTCCACTCAGACTTCCAAGTAGCTGGAACTACAGGCACGCGCTACCACACCCGGCTGATTTTTTGATTTATTGTAGAGATGAGGTCTCGCCTGCCCAGGCGGGTCTCAAACCTGTGGGCTCAGGCAATACACTCACCTCGCCTCCCAAAGGCGCGGATTACAGGCTGAGCCACCGAGCCTGGCTCCCAGTTTTAAAGGGAGGTGTCCACTACACTCCCTCTAACTCTTCTGGATTATTTGTGGTCAGTTGAAGAGTTGGCTGTCCTGGCCCAGTGGCCACTCCCATTTCTAGGCTCCTAGCTGATTTCTCACCAGGCTCATCTACTGGGGATGCCAACTCTTCTCCTCTTCTCCAGCTTCTATGTCACTAATAATTCTGAGAGCTTTCTATTTTTTTTTTTTTTTTTTTGAGTAGGAGTCTCACTCTGTCACCCAGGCTGGAGTGCAGTGGCATGCTTATGGCCATGCCAGCGTTGACATGCTGGGCTCCGGTGATCCTTCTGCCGCAGCCTTCCAAGTATCGGGAACTACAAGTGCATGCTACCACGCCCAACTAATTTTTTGATTTATTGTAGAGATAACGTCTCACCAAGTTGCCCAGGCTGTTCTCCAACTGTGGGCTTAGGCAATCCTCTCACCTTGGCCTCCCAAAGTGCTGGGATTACAGGCTTGAGCCACCACACCCGGCCTCTGAGAGCTTTCTGAGCAACCTGTCCACATTTGTCTTTGTGTGTGTGTGTACCATTTTAACCAATGAACTGTACAATTCAGTGGTATTAAGCACATTTACAGTGTTGTAACCATCACCACCATCCATCTCCGGGAGAACTTTTTCATCATCCCAAGCTAGAACTCTAACAGTATTCATAAAACACAAATCCCCCATCTTCCTCTCCCCCCAGCCCCTGGCAACCCCCTTTCTGCTGCCTCTATGACTTTGCTCTAGGTGCCTCATAAGTGGAATCATCCAAATACGGCCCTTTTGTGCCTGGCTATTTCACTGAGTATAATGTCTTTCAGGTTCATGTGTGTTGTAGCCTGTGTGAGAATTTCTTCCCTTTTTCGGGCTGAATAATATTCCATTGTTTGTATACCTCAGGTAGTTTATGCATTCAGCAGTTGATGGACATCTGGGTTGCTTCCCCCTTTTGGTTACTGTGAATCAGGCTGCTGTGAGTAGGGGTGTACAAATGTCTGTCCGAGTCCCTGCCTTCAATCCTTTTGGGTGCATACCAAGAAGCAAAAACACTGGAATGTGTGGGGATTCTATAGTTAACTTTTCGAGGAACCACCAGGCTTTTTCCACAGCAGCTGAACCACTTTACATTCCCATCAGTGATGCACAAGGGTTCCCATTTCCCCACATCCTCACCCATGCTTGTTATTTTCTGTTTTGTTTTTATAATGGCCTTCCTAATGGGTATGAAGTGGTATCTCATTGTGGTCACATTTGTCTTTGCTACGTTAAATGGGGTTTCGGTGTTTGGTTTCAGTGTTGAGGGGAAACCAATGAACTGACAGAGGAAAGCATTCTCCCCTCTTCTTCTAATTCCCCTCCTCCTTGTCTCTTTTTTACATTTATTTTTTATGGGTCAGAGTCTTACTCTGTCGCACAGGCTGGAGTGCAGTAGCTCACCATAGCCTTGACACCCTGGTCTCAGGTGATCCTCCTATCTCTGCCTCCTGAGTAGCTGGGACTAGAGACACACGCCACCACTCCCGGATAATTTTTTGATTTTTTTTGTAGAGACAAGGTTTCACTTTGTTGCCTGGGCAGGTCTCGAACTCCTGGGCTCAAAAGCCTTCTTGGCCTTCCAAAGTGCTGAGGTCACAGGCATGAGCCGTAGTGTCCAACCTCCTTTTATCTTTTAAACCCTACTAGTCTTCAAGGTCTGGCCTCCCTGCATCCTCCTTACCAACCACAGCAGCTGTCTGTACCACTCAATTGGTCCTTTTGCCAAATATCACTCAGGCAGGGCACAATGGCTTACACATGCAATCCTGGCACTTTGGGAGGCCAAGGCAGGAGGATCCCTTGAGGACAACAATAACATAGTGAGACCCAGACTCTACAAAAATTTTTAAAAATTTTCTGGACATGATATGTGCCTGTAGTTCTAGCTACTTGAGGGGGCTAAGTTGGGAGGATGTTTGAGCCCAGGAGTTTGAGGTTGCAGTGAGCTACGATTATACCACTGCCCTCCAGCCAGGGCAACAGAGGGAGACTCTGCCTCGTTTGTTTGTTTGTTTGTTTGTTTTTGAGTTGGAGTCTCACTTTGTCACCCAGGCTGGAGTGCAGTGGCATGCTCACAGCCACCCCAGTGTTGACCTGCTGGGCTCTGGTGACCCTTCCTCCTCAGCCTTCCAAGTGTCCAGAACCACAGGTGCATGCTACTATGCTCCACCAATTTTTTTATTTATTGCAGAGATGAGGTCTGGCCAAGTTGCCCAGGCTGGTCTGGAACCTACGGGCTCAGGCAATCCACTCGCCTCAGCCTCCCCAAGTGTTGGGATTATAGGCTGAGCCACCGACTGACCTTTTGAGGTATGTGCCCTTGTGATCCAACCAGCCTGGGAACTCCTTGAGGCAGCAACTGTTGTACAGTCGTGTGCTTTGCGGCCCTGGCACAGGCCTCTTCTGAGCAGACACTTGCTACGTGACACACCCTGTTCATGGGGAGGGTGGCGTGGGAGAGCTCAGGACTACGTCAAGCATGGGAAGGGAGGGCTTGAGAACATGAAGCCCAGCTCTGCCAGCTGCCAGTGGACACTGGCTTGACAGCTCCTCAGTTCCTCTTTGAGGAGGGAGAAGAGACAGAACTACCAAGATGCCTCCTGCAGCACACCCACCCTTCAGCTAAAGCAGGCCTGGTCACCATGACACCTGCCCACCCCTGTGCGATGCCCTGTGCTCTTCCAAGCACTTTCACTCACATTTTGTCGCTGGTTCTTCCGTAATTAAGATGCATGCGAAGCTCAGATAGCTTTACTCCCTTTTGGGGGTGGTAAGAAGGTTGGGATTTAGAGAGGAAACACCATTTGCCCTATGTCCCAGGACCAGTAAGTAGAAGAGCTGACACTAGAATCAATGTCTCTTGTTTTTTACTTCAAACCTCATCCCACTGCATAATACTGCCCATCTCTTGGACATGTGCATCTAATGTCACTCTCCTGCTCACAAGCACTCACTAGCTCCTCACTTTCTACTGAAACACTACAGCATCCTTGGCCTGGCACTCAAGCCTCTTCATGACCTCATCCCATTCTACTTATTCTCACAATCCAGCTGTCCCTGTATTACCCCCATGCCTTTTCAGATCCTATTCATTCTGTTTGGTGTGACTTCCTCCTCTCACTTCCACAGTTGCAAACCCAGCTGGAAGGTAACTTCAGAACAAAGTCTTTCATCCCCCCAGCCACAAGTCCTCTCTTCCTCCTCTGAATTTCCACAGCACTTGCTCTGCCTCTCTCTCTCCCCTTCCCTCCCTCCCTCCCTCCCTTTTTGGTACAGATTATTTTCTGCTATATGATATTGAGAACATGCAGTCCTCAGTCAGCCCTCTTTCTTCTGTGTCCTGCACCTGTAGCTCCTGGATACCTCCACCTAAATGCGTCCTGGATACCTCCACCTAAATGCCCCATGGGCACCCCAAACCGCTTTCCATTGTTTCCCTGCAAGCCTGTCTCTCTCCCGAGACCTCATTCTGATTAGTGGCACTGCTATGCACCCAGTTAGAAGCCAAAGGTCCTGGGGTCACTGTAGCTTCCTCTTCCATACCCCCTGAGGGTTGAACCTGGTTTGTCTGGTTCACCACTGTGTCCCTGGTACTTAGCATAGCACCAGCAATAAGCGTTGGATACAAGGATAAAGACATATCTTAGTGCATTAGCAATTGCCACATGACAAATCACCCCAGACCATCAACAAATCATCAGCAGCTGACTCAGTCACCATTGGCTCTGGCAGCTCACGTGTCTGTGTTGGCAGATCCTGGCTGGCCTTGAGACTGTGAGTCCTCTAGGCTCTGTTTGATGCTTGGCTGAGGCGTGCAGCTCCACTGCCCCTGTCTCTCAGCCTTCTCCTGGGCCCAGTGGACTAGTCCGGACACATTCTTCTCATGATGAGAGCAGAGGCACAAAGGCGAGAAGCCCAGCTGCACAAGTGTGGTCCAAGGCTCTGGTTAAGGCATGCCCACCGACATCCCATTGGCTAGGGCAAGTCACATGGCTAAGCCACCAAGTCAGCCACTGACTTCTGCCCCTTCTACTTCTTTTGATTTACGACAGGGTCTCACTCTGTCCCCAGAATGTATAGTAGTATGATCATAGCTCACTGCAGTCAAAACCTCCTGGGCTCAAGATATCCCCCTGCCTCAGCCTCCTGAATAGCTGGGACTACAGGTGATACCATGCCAAATTAATTAAAACACATTTTAAAAAACCCCATCTCACTGTGATGCCCAGACTAGTCTCCAACTCCTAGCCTCAAGAGATCCTCCCACCTCAGCCTCCCAAAGTGCTGGGGTTACAGGCATGAGCTACTACATCCAGCCTCTGCCACTTAACTATCTTTGGACTCCATCCCACCCTCCTCTTTCCTCTCCTCATTGCTGTTACTCTGGCTCAGCCCTTATCACACCTCACCTGGATGGCCCCAAAAGTTTCCCATCTTTGTCTTGCTCCTTCCAATTCACTCATCACAAGATGAAAGAGTGTCAGAAGGCAGCTGGGCGTGGTGGCTCACGCCTGTAATCCCAGCACTTTGGGAGGCTGAGGTGAAAGGATTGCCTGAGCCCAGCAGGCCGAGGCTGCTGTGGTCGTGAGCAGCATGCCACTACACTCCAGCCTGAGCAACAGAATGAGACTCCAACTCAAAAAGAAAAAAGAAAAAGAAAAAGGCCATTGCCTGACTAGACTCTGGTGTGGCCATGCGCTCTTTGAGCTATGGCCATTGCCATGTTTCCTAAGCTTTGGCCCCTCTTCTAACTTGGGGAGGTGAATCAATCTCTCTTTCTAATTTACTTTTCAAATAAACTATATTTTCCAATCCAAAAAAAAAAAAGAGAGTGTCAGAAGAGCAATTTTTCCAAGACACATATCTGATGTTTCTCTCGACTTAAAGCCCATGAATGAATCTTGAAAATCTACAGAGTAAAGCTGGGCCCCGGGCTGGCTGGCAGAGGCCCTCTCGGTCCTTCTCTGCCTCTGATCCTATTCTCTGGGTCTCTGTCTGCATCACTGTTTTTGGAATTGGGATGCCCTTCCCACCTGCTGCCTTGTGCCCCCCCCTCCAGCCCATGAGCCCACAGTCCTCCTCCAAGACCCGTTCCCCCTCTTGAGGACTTTCTTAAACACCTGACCCTAGAGCTGACTGCCGCCCTGTCTGCCCATCTCCTCACCTTCACATCTCTGCAGGACAGCACTCTGAGGAAGGCTTGTTAAGAGAGAAAAGCAGAGGCCCAGCGCAATGGCTCAAGCCTGTACTTCGGCACTTTGGGAAGCCAAGGGGAGAGGATCACTTGAGTGAGCCCAGGAGTTTGAGAACAGCTTGGGCAACATAGTGAAACTTCTCTCTATACAAATAAAAAAAAAATTAGCTGGACATGGTAGCACATGCCCATAGTCCCAGCTTCTCAGGAGGCTGAGGCAGAAGGATCGCCTGAGTCCAGAAGGTCAAGCCCATACCTCTGTACTGTGTTCTACACCTATAGAACCTGCTCCTTCCTTCGATGGCTGTGTGGATCCTATTCAAAGCCGTGATGGTACCACTGCTCTCCAGTCTGGGTAACAGAGTGAAACCCTGACTCAAACAAAATAGAGATAAGCGGGATATAAAACTTAGTATTTAACATGACTGATTTTGCACTGGCATACATGCGTGTAAGTATACAAAAAGCTTAGCAACAGTCCTCTCTGAATGGTGATATGTGATTTTTTTCCTTATATTTCTCTTCATACTGTAAGATTTTCTTCCTAACAAGCATGTATATCTTTTATAAAAAATAAAACTTCATCTTAAAAGTGCTTGTGAGGCTGGGCTCAGTGGCTCAACCTGTAATCCCAGCGCTTTGGGAGGCCGAGGCAAGTGGATCGTCTGAGCCCGTGGGTTTGAGACCAGCCCGGGCAACTTGGCGAGACCTTGTCTGTACAATAAATAAAAAATTAGCCAGGCATGGTAGCACACGCCTCTAGTTCCGGCTACTTGGAAGGTTGAGGCGGAAGGATCACTGGAGCCCAGCAGGTTGACGCTGGGGTGGCTGTGAGTGTGCCACTGCACTCTAGCCTGGGCGACAGAGTGAGACTCCAAAAAAAATAAGTGCTTGTGAGTGAATATGTATTAATTCTCTTTGTACTTTGTCTATAGAAGATGTTCCATAAAAGCGCCAAAGGAACCTGAGGAGTGGTGAGGCCTTGCAAAATGGGTGCAAGTCCTTCCCTCCTGACCCTTCCTAACCACACACCGGGCTTCTGGGTGTGAACGTGGTGAGCTGGTGACGATCAGGGCCCCAGGGCTCACTGCCTGGAATCCTGGCAGATACGCTCACCTGTGGGGTCTAAGGCATGAAACCTGATGGCTCTGTGCCTCAGTTTCCTTATAGGTAGAGGATTATAGAATCATGACCACAGAAGTTGATTGTGAGGATGAACAAGGTAGGTGACACACTGATCGGAATCCTGCAAATGCTCCAGAAAGGGCACTGTGGATTCTGGCACAGAGCTAGGCTGCTTTGAGCTACCTCCTGCCCAAAGCAAGTCACACTGCCCCTGCCCTTGACAACCTCTGGGCTGCCCTACCTGCCAAGCAGGTGAGGTCCCTGCCCCCACCCTGAGCACCAAGCCAGTGAGCCAAGCAGCCTTATGAAAACAATCCTACAAAGAGCCCTCAGGGGAAAAAAAACTCCCACAAGTGGCCTAGGTGGTGACTGTGAGCTTCCTGCTTCCCCATAGCTACAGAAGGATTAATTCCAGGCGAAGGGTCCAGAACCAGCCCTCAGAAGGGCAGGCTTGAAAAGAGGTTAGGATGAAGGGGCACAGCCTCTTAAACCCCCATCTTTTACTGTACTGCCCCCGCCCCCCGCCCCAGGTAAGGTGAGAACAGGCCAGGCTCCAGGAAACATGCTGAGGGACTGGGCTCTGGGGCAGGACGACATGGGCACAGGTATGGGCTCTGGAGACCACTTGGTCTCCTGCCCTGACTCGGGCTCCTCTGAACTTAGGTCTGCGCACCTGACCTGTACACACCCCAACTGGCTCCTGGGGGCCTGGTCTTGGGACAGGTGTTCCCCATTCAGCTGCTCCCTTGCAGAGGCCACATATGACTGTATGGGTCTCATCACTTGGGTCAGCCCCTACCTTGATGCTGACTTTATCTGTTTTATTTTATTTATTTATTTTTGAGTTAGGGTCTTATTCTGTCCCCCAGGTTGGAGTGCAGTGGCATGATCACGACTCTCTGAAGCTTCGACCTCCAGGTCTCAGGTGATCCTCCTGCCTCAGCCTCCTGAGTAGCTGGGACTACAGGCGTGTGCCACCACACATGCCTGGCTTATTTTTCAGATTTTTTTGTAGAGAAGAGGTCTGGCTATGTTGCCTAGGCTGATCTCGAACTCCTGGACTCAAGCGATTCTCCCACCTCGGCCTCCCAAAGTGCTGGGATTACAGGTGTGAGCCACCGTGCCTGGCCAATTTTATTTCTATTATTTGTTGTTGTTATTGTTGTTGTTGTTTGAGTTGGAGTCTCACTCTGTCGCCCAGACTGGAGGGCAGTTATTTTGTTTTTTAGAAAATTTGTAGAGTTTAGGCTCAAACTCCTGGCATCCAGAAAAGTGCTGGAATTACAGGTGTGAGCCACGGCACCCAGCTGTGATACTGACCTTGAACCTTGCTCTTCTTGCCTCTGACCTCTCTGGGATGACCAAGAATGGTTTCCCAGGTGGTAACAAATCAGAGGCTCCAGTCCCACCCCACCCCAGTAACTGGAAAAACTGAACCCCAAAACCCTATGAGCAGAAGCAAGATGGAAGGAGGAGCTGTCAAAAGGAGAGAGAAACCAAGGGTGAGAGGACAAACCACCAGATGGGAGAGAGGGTGAGGGAGAGAGAACAAGGTGTGCCCAAGGCCCAGATTCCATTTCTGGGCGGTGAGAAACCCTTGGGCAGAAGGAGGGAAGTTCACTGGGCAAGGTTGTACGCTGCTTGAGGGTGGTGTTGGAACATAGCCAGTCCACAAAAGATGAAGAGGGGAAACAAAAGACCTGGCTGGGGACAGAAGATGGGTGAAGACAGAGGAAGGGGAGAGTGTCATTGGCTGGGCTGGCAGCTCAGCATGGCAGAAGATGCTGACTAGAGGCCGGACAGTGGCTTGGGGGTGTTTCCAGAATGCACTCCCCAAACCTGCTGTTTTTGTTTTGAGTAAGGGTCTCAGTCTTGTCACCCAGGCTGTAGTAGATAGTACGATATGACCCACCGCAGCCTCAACTTCCTAGGTTCAGGCAACCCTTCTGCCTCAGCCCCCTGAATAGCTGGGATTATAGACATACGCCACCATGACCGGCTAGTTATTTATTTATTTTTTAATATAGAAGCAGTCTTGCTATGTTGCCCAGGCTGATCTCGAACTCCTAGGCTCAAGCAATCCTCCCACCTCAGCTTCCCAAAGTGCTGGGATTACAGGAATGAGCCACCGCGCTGGGTCCCCAAACCCACTTCTAGTTATCACAGGAGGTATGCTTCAACTCTGAGCTAGGACAGGCTCACTCAGTCTCTGCTGGGTCCAACAAACCCCTGTTCCCTGCCCTGGCCTCCCTCTAACCTGGCCCCTGAGCCCCTGGGCCCCTTCCAGTACCTCCTTGCTCAGCCCTAGGATCAAAGCCCGAAGCAGGAAGAGCCAGCAGCTCAGTGGATGTCGGCCTCTTTCTCCCAGTGACAAACAAAACTATCCTGAGGTCTGCGACACAAAGACAGGGTAGCCCGGGAGCAAAAATCAGGGTGAAGTAAGGAGCAGTGCGTGGGCACAACTGGAAGCATGAGGAAAGAGTCTGGAGAGCAGCAGATGTCTTAACAAGCAGGTTTTGGGGAGCACTTAAACACAAGAGTCCTCGTAGCTGGCGAAAGGCCGGGAACACAGAAAGACAGAGCTCAGGCGACTTGTCTGGGCAGGGAACTGCCTCCCAAGGGAGTGGGTGATGGAGAGAAGGAGCGGGCTTTCAGAGGCTTGCTCCCTAGGACTATCCCACCTGAGCCTGTAAGCTAGGCCACAGAGTGGCAGGGCCAGCGGGTGGTAGGGCCAGCAGCTGAGAGGAGTGAAGTAACTGCAGGAAAATCTAAGACAGGCAGGTAGCAAAGCCAGAAGGAACAGCGACCCTTGGTTTTTTCTGAAGTGCCCATCTTGTTCCAGGAAGCTAAGGAACCACAACACAGTAATGCTGGAAATCTCTGTCCAGTGAAGCATCTCCCTAGAAAGTCAGGATGCTGGCCAGGTACAGTGGCTCACGGCTGTAATCCCAGCACTTTGGGAGGTCGAGGCGAGAGGATTGTCCAAGCAGGGGTTCATGGCCAGCCTGGGCAACTTGGTGAGACCTCCTCTCTAAAAAAAGAAAGCCAGGATTCCCCTCCCATGTGGCCACCCCACCATGTCCTAAGCTCAGTACCCATCTCTGGGCACCCACATCATGACCTGCAGCCCTTCTGGGATGCCCCTGAGGGCACAGCAGTGGGGGGCAGTGGGGGATAGCGTCAGCGACCTGGTGTCAAGTCCCCTGGGAGGCTCTGTGCTGTCTAGTGGTGCCAGAAGGGGGAGGGCAGTCACTCTTATATATGGGGTCAGACGCAAGGTTGGAAATGGCCCTGCCTTCCCCCATGGTCAGCATATCAGCAAGAGGAAAGCAGGGCTGGCCCAGGGCCAGAAAGGAAGCCAGGGGAGGGAACCGCCTGTGGCCACCGGCTGGCTTGGACTCCACAGAATTCCACCCTCTTGCTGTGGGCATCCTTAGGAGAGGCCCCCAAGATAGGTGATACTGCTGGCCTTGAGGGGCTTCTCCTTCCACCTCCCAAGTCACAGTAATAATAATAATAACAATAGCCAGGCTCTCTTCTCAGTATTTCCATGCATTAACTTAGATAATCCTCAAGCCCATTTTACAGATGGGAAAAGTGAGGCAAAAAGAACCTACTTTCTTACAGCTATAAAAGGCAAGGCTGGCTGGGTGCAGTGGCTCACGTCTGTAATCCTAACACTTTGGGAGGAGGAGGTGAAAGGATTGCCTGAGTCCAGGGGTTCAGGGGTTCAAGACCAGCTTGGGCTACTTGGAGAGACCTCGACTCTACAATAAATAAAAAAATTACCTGGGCATGGTGGCATGCACCTGTAGTTCCAGCTACTTGGGAGACTGAGGTGGAAGGGCCATCTGAGCCCAGAGGGCCAAGGGTGCGATGGCCGTTTGCGTACACTGCATTCCAGCCTGAGCAACAAAGTGAGACTCCTAGTCAAAATAAAATAAAATTAAAAAGGCAAGGATGGGGCCAGGCGCAGTGGTTCACACTTGTAATCCCAGCACTTTGGGAGGCAGAGGTGGAAGAACTGCTTGAGGAGCTAGAGCCCAGCCTGAGCAACAGAGCAAGACCCCATCTCTACAAAAAAAGAAAAGAAAAATGCAAGGCTGCGACTCAATTCCATAAGTCTAGCTCCAGAGTCTTCAATCCTAATCAGCATGCTGCACTGCCCCGAGACCTGGTTCCAGGCTCCTCCAAGGGCACTATCAATTTCTAAGTTTCTGCTTCTAGAAGGCCGTGATGCTATGTGGAGAGACAACAAGATGCAAGAAGGTTGTGAGCGCCAAGGAGGACCATCAGCAGAGCTCACGTGGGGTGTCTGAGCTGCCGAAGGCTCCAGCCTGTTCTTCAGGCCACATTCTGGCAGAATCTACATTAAGGTCTTCCAAGGTCAAAGCTGAGCCTCAGTTCTCAAGGTGTGCACCACTTACAGGCCTCTTACCAGGACACACATTACCCAGAGCCTCCTGACTGGCAGCCCGCCCCAGTGCTCCTGGAGATTGCAGATGGCCCAGCCCTGTCACGGGAACACCAGCTAAGAGCAGTGGCCAGTGTGCAGGCTGCTCAGGGAACAACAGCCAGGCTGTCAGAACAACCAGTCCACATTTGGAGGACTTTAGGGGCCTCTGACATGAAGCAAACCCCAGCAGGAACACAGCAGGGCTAGTGGGCTTGGGGAATGGAGTCAGTCCTGGCACAGAGGTTCCCGGCACTCGGGAAGCAAAGGGCAGCCTGCAAGAGGGACCACAGGCTGCCATCCAGGGCGTTGCCTGGAATGCTCTTCCCAGACCTTCACACAGCTGCCTCTCTGTTATCATTCAGGTCTCAGCTGTTAGCTCTCAGAGACAGGCTCTGGTTCCCAGGTCCAAAATGGCCTTCGGTCACTCATATCATCCCATTTTATTTTCTTCATAGCACTTTCTGATATTTTACTGCTTATTTCTGATCTGTCTCTCCATAAGTAGAATGAAAGTTTTATGAAGGCAGGGCATTGTCTTTTTCACTGCTATGATGATAACCTGTGGCTGGCAATAATACCTAATAACACTTGTGGGATGGG